TTTCTCTAAGCAACAGTTTATAATGTGTGTCAATGGATTTAATAACATTGGCATACAAAGCTTGAGCATACACAAGGTTATGCCGTCAGGACCACATGCATTTGATCTTATCTTCGATATATGCTCCAGTACAATACTTTGGTCAACAAAGCTGAATGTGAAGCTGGAATCACTCATTTTGCTGGAGTAATATCTGGTAATAAGAGCATTAGATTCATTATTTTCGGTATATGCAGACATGAAAGACCTGTTTATTTCATCAGGTTCGTTTAAGGAAATGAAAAGGAAGAGGAATTATTTACATTCATGTTTTTCAGAGTTTTCCAAAATTGCCTATTATTTCTCTGAGAATGCAGATAGCTAAGATATGCACGTTTTTTTGTTCTCATTGCCATTAATGCGAAGTTCCTCATCTTTTTGTAGTGCCTCAGATGTTCTTCGGTTCTATTCAACTTGTAAGTGTGTAATGACCTGTCGCTCTCCTTGAAAATCAGTAAGCCAGGGAGCTGACGGCCTGCTAACTCTGACGGTAATTTTAGGAGCATCAATGTCGCAGAATAATGTATCATAGTCAGTCAATAATCTTTGTTTTTCATCGATACTTTTTAGAGTATAGATGTGATGCCAAGGAATGGAGCGTAAGTCCATCATTAACAGATAATGAATGTGGTACCGCTGGCTTTGATTTGAGATAGAGTATGAGCGTTCCTCGAATAATATTGGATGGAGTATAAATGCTTTTCTAGTACACAATCTGCGCCAAGTCCAGAGTGTCGTCTGAATTGTAAAATTTAGCGATGGCAAAACTTTTAAACTTACCGTTTCCTCCTATTTAACTTAAAATCTTTTGTTCGGTAAGGTACGTAAAATAATGGGTGATTTTTTTGCTAGTATCTTTTTGACAACACTGTTTTTGACAGATGACGCGTGAATCGTGTCTTGTGTCATTGTCAAACTTGCTCAGTTTGATCTATAATTTAACCATGAATCGACTTACGAACGAACAACGCTTGCAAATTATTGAATTTTACTATTAAAATTCATGCTCGGTTAAGAGAGTGCATCGAGCACTGCTTCCAATTTATGGGCAATTTGGTCGGCCTACTGAGGGAGCTATTCGGAAACTTGTGACTAAATTTCGAACCCAGTTGACATTATTGGACATTAAACCACCAAGACGCAGACGTAGAGTGAGGACTGAAGAAAATATTGCGGCTGTATCCGCCAGTGTTAGTGATGACCGTGAAATGTCGATTCGCCGCCGTTCGCAGCAATTGGGCCTCTGTTACTCCACTACGTGGAAAATTTTGCGACAGGATTTGGGTGTAAAACCTCATAAGATACAGCTGGTGTAAGAATTGAAGCCACACGACCTCCCACAACGTTTTCAATTTGGTGAATGGGCGCTGGCAAAGTTGGAGGAAGATCCACATTTTTATCGAAAAATTGTGTTCAGCGACGAAGCTCATTTCTGGTTGAATGGGTACCTTAACAAGCAAAATTACCGCATCTGGAGTGAAGACCAGCCAGAAGCATTGCAAGAGCTACCAATGCATCCCGAAAAAATCACTGTTTGGTGTGGATTATCGGCCGGTGGCATCATCGGGCCGTACTTCTTCAAAGACGACAATGGCCGAAACGTAACTGTGAATGGCGAGCGCTACCGTGAGATGATAACAAACTTTTTTTTGCCCAAAATGGAAGAGCTGGACTTGGCTGACATCTGGTTTCAAAAAGACGGTGCCACATGCCACACCGCACACGAAACAATGGCCCTATTAAGAGGCGAGTTCGGTGAACAGTTTATCTCACGTTTGGGGCCCGTCAATTGGCCGCCTAGATCGTGTGATTTAACGCCGTTGGACTATTTCTTGTGGGGCCACATTTACATGAAATAATCTTTAAACATTAAATTATATCGGCCGTTCTATCGACTCAAATAAAGATTTAATCGTTTTTTCAAATTTTTTGTGTTTTTTTTTTGAAAATCAAATCCTATACCTCTTAAAAAATCACCCGTTAGTTTATCCGATTCATGGACCTGAGGCACACCAGCCGAAGCATCAGGCTTGAAAACCAAACGTACTTCAACCGTTTAGAGCTCCTTTACCGGCATACGCTTATAGAAAGTGACGGCATCTGGATATTATAAGCCAATGAACCTGTAGCACATACCATGAGCTAGCTCTATTTAGTGGCATGTCATATCAAAACGAAAGGTTTCGCTTCAGGGCATTAGATATCACAGTACAATTACGTATGGCATTTCATGGGTCAGAGACGTAGGTAAAAGCAATTTAATAGAGTTTCAGATATCTTTATTTGGTCAAGTATTATACTCAGTTTGTTAAATAATTTTACACAAACGAGTAAGTATTCTGACTCAACAGAATATTTGAGGTAATCTGATTAGACATGAAATTTGAAAGACACCTATGTTACATGGTTTATGATTTCTGTTATAATAATAATAATAGCTTTATTGTCCAACAGTTTCCCATTTATAGGACAATTTATAAACATAATACAAAAGCAAAAAAAAGCGAAAAGAAAACAACAAATGCAACACATGTATAAATTTGTAACATGAGCTATTGGTCCGAATAAGCCTTAGCTGCCTTTAGCAGGTAATTAACATTTGTCGTAAATATATCACAGTAACATCCAATTCCGTTTAAGTTAGAGCACATCACATATAACGGTGACTTGAGAAGAATGCTTGTCCTAGCTCTAGGAAGCCCGAATATTTTATGATTGCGAGATACAAACGTTGGAGTACGAAACTTGATCTGTTCCAGGATTATGGGGCAATCAGTTAGATTGTTGATCATTTTGTAGCCAAATATTATTGAGGCACAGTACCAACATTTCTAAGCGACTACATAGTTCCTCATTACTTGTACCTCTCTCTGGATATGCCCATCAATCCTAAACAGAACAAACTTCATAAACTTCCGTTGTACTCGTTCAATAGCTGTGCTATAGCATTCATAGGGCTCCAAATAATACTACAATATTCGACTTTGGATCTAACATAAGCATAATATAATAGCTTAATAGACTGTATGTTATGAATATTCCTGCAATTCTTTACTATGAAACCATAAGCCGCCAATGCTTCTGATGCTTTTTTATTTATATGCTGACTAAAAGTTAGCTTTTGATCATAGATTATACCTAAATCACGTACATCAGAGCATCTTTCTAACACAGACCCATCAATAGAGTACGGATATTCGCAAACATTAATTTTCCTGGTATAGCTGACTATTTTACACTTCCTCACATTAAGCTCCAACTTGTTTTCTACACACCAAGACAGCACAAAATTTGATTGGTGTTGTAGCTTGATACAATCATCAGGAGTATTTATCTGCGAATAAATTTTTAGGTCGTCAGCAAAGCATAGGCGTTTACATTCAACTGAGTCACAGAGGTCATTAATAAATATCAAAAACAGTAATGGTCCTAGGTTGGACCCCTGAGGAACTCCAGAAGGTGCCAAGTAGGTCTCAGATTGGAAGCCATTATAGCTAACGAATTGTCTACGATCGGATAAGTAAGATTTCATCAACTCCCTAGCATCATCTGTGAAACCAAGTGCACCTAACTTATTTAATAAAGTTTTGTGGCTAATTTAATCGAAAGCCTTCGAAAAGTCGGTATAAATAACGTCAACTTGCTCATTACTATCAATTGCTTCCGAGAGGTACTGCGTTATTATAAATAGATTTGTGGTTGTTGAGCGATTAGCGACAAGTCCGTGTTGATGCAATGACAGCTGGACGGCAGTGTAAATGCGACTGTACAAGACTATTTCAAAGACTCTCGAGAACATGCATAATATAGAGATTGCCCTGTAATTCTCAATATTTGACTTATCCCCACACTTAAACACTAGACAGACCTTAGCGGTCTTCCAAATATCTGGAAATCTTCTTGTTATAAGACAAATATTAAAAATCCTAGTTAGAACACCAACAAACACTTCCACACAATCTTTGACTATAAAGGACGGGATGCCATCTAGACCAGATGTCATCTTATCCTTTAGTGATTTAATGGCCTTACTGACTTTATTTTCCTCAATTGGATGTAAATGGACAAATAAATTACTATGATTTAGTGAGGCATTATTATGGGGCTTGTGAGTGACATAGACGTTGCTGAAAAACTCACTGAATGCGTTTACTATATCCTGAGCCTGATCTATAGAATTATTTTGAAATTTCATTATCCCTGGGATTCGTGATGTGTTGTTTTTGGAGTGAACGTATGATCAAAAAGCATTGGGGTTAATTGTTAAAGAATTCTGGATATTTTCAATATATTGATCATACGCTGATTTGAGTTCTTCTAGATCATCAACGAAAGCAGACTTGTGGATTTTTTTCCTAAATTGAGCTTTAAGTTTAATGTTCTTAATAATAGCTGAGTGAAACCAAGGCGGGTATCGGTGACTGAAATTATTATACGCCTGTCAAAAATTTGGAAAATGTTACCATAAAATACATCACAATATAAATAACATCAGAAGAGCAGAATAAAACATCCCAGTCAAATTGAATTAGCTCTTGATACAGGTTGACAAAGTCAGCCTTTCTGTAGTTATTTTACTATGATTGAATGTAAACTTAGGCTCTTTAATGAATTGGCAGTCAAATCAACAGCTAAAGTTCAACAACGTAATATTATGAGACACTTTTAATATATGAGCACAACAAGAATGCTAGCTGCAAACCAACCTAATAATTCGAGGGTCAACAAAGTCTAGTTTTACTCATATCGATACATGCATTTAATAACGTTGTGACCAATGTCAACTTTCAGAACAGGCATTTCTATTTTTTAACGACCGCAGTCGAACTTTTAACTTTTAATATAATAATGTGACATTTAGTGTACAGGGTGTTATATTGGTTGTATTTGAATTAATCTAGTATTATATTTGCCATTTAAAATATCAGATCTGAATAATTCAACGATTTCATTTTTTCCAGGTGAGATTTCTTCAGTCCTGCTCCCTCGCACGTATGGTAAGGCTCTCATATAACAGTTTTTTTTAATAAAATGGAAAATTAGACACAGACACACCTGCGTACCTTTCCCGAGAGTTTTCGTATACAGTGTATTGATCATTCGATAACTGATTCACCATAATTGCTATATGTCTGATACAAACAAACTCGTTTGGTGGAGACAGTAAAGGTGATAAGCGAAATGGTTTGTTTGTTGTATGTCTGTTATCTCTACACGTTATCTTTTCCATTTCACAGGTAGATATTGAGCTATTTAGCAGCGAATACAGGGTAGATCTTTTAAGGCCGATATTTCAGAAATTGATGGTACGATTCTCGATACTGATGAATGAACAGGGTAACAAAAAAGTCTATGTTCCTTTCCTCATTATTAGGCCATTAAATTACAGTTCCAGATATACCAAGTTCTTGAACTTGATTAAATGTCTTAGAATAAACGACTAATCGTTATATCACATCTAGCTGCTACTACAGAACGAAAATGGTGATGTTTCACGTACTGAGAAGTACAAAAGATGAGCGTTTGCCTATCGCAGAAAGTTTCTCTTCGCCTCCAGTCGTTTTCTTGTTTGTATCTGGTTGAGATATCTTCAGCCACTTTGCGAGTCGCTCTGAGATGTTCCATGGATTCACTTCCATACATATACATTTATGTAATGCTCATTTTGTTTTATTTCGATCATGAAGCAGTATAGGCAGAACGTTTTCAGCATCACTCGAATCGGTATCTGAGATTCAATCGGATTCTGAACTTGAACTTTAAGAATCTGATAATTCTCTGTGCAATTCAAACAAGCATACTCAATAAAAACCTAGTATGACACCAAATTTGATAGAACCAGCTACCTGGCTTCAATCTTTTCAATTGATTCAAGCTCAAAGACAAAGATTTACGTTTCGGAAATTGTTTCAAAAGACATTTAAAAAAGTGGCTATATTCTATATCTAGGACTGAAATTCATAAACTCATAAATACGAACATCAAGTAAATATACTAAGTGACATATAAATCCGAACAACCAGTTTAAATGGTTTTATTTTAATAAAATTTTGTATAAGTATCTACTTAATGAAGCATAATAAGTAAATGATAAAAATTTCAAAATGATTGCACTGCTTTAAAGCCCTTTGCCTTTAATAATGTGTGGATGCACCCTGATGTGCAGCGCATTCTCCAACGCGCCTAGGCATGCTTCTGATCAGGTGGTCAATGTCCTCCTGTGGTATCTCATTCCAGGAAACCACCAACTCCTCTCGAAGTGCTTCTAGAGTCTGAGGAGGACGTTGCAAATTGAGCAATCTCCTACCCATCATATCCCACACGTGCTCAATTGGGGATAAGTCGGGAGATCTTGGTGGCCATGGTAACAATGTGACATCATTATGTTGAAAGAAGTCTATTGTGACTCTTGCAACATGTGGTCGGGCATTATCTTGTTGGAAAGTTGGATCTGCCAGGGTGTCAAGATAGGGTAAAAGATGGAGTTCTAGAACTTCGTGGATATAACGCTGCGCGTTCATGTTACCTCTGATGAAGATTAAAGGTGACCTGGAACCATAAGCTATAGCACCCCAAACCATAACTCCAACAGTGTGATGAACATGTCTTTCAACAAAAAACTGTGGATTCCTAATTTCACCACGTCGCCCTCTAACCCTGGCACGACCATCGTGCATGCCTAAACAAAATCGAGACTCGTCACTCAAGGCAATACTGTTCCATTCCTGATCCCAGAGTGACCGTTGTCTGCACCACTCAAGGCGATTACGTCGGTGTTCTCGAGTTAAAGGGAGGACCCAGTGTGGCCGGTAGGAAAACAAGCCAAAACTTCTCATTCGTCGGTAAACACTTCGCATTCCAATAGGTCTTCCGTGTTCTGCAAACCATTCATTTGCAATGGACCTGGTAGTGGAGAAACGGTCCCTTAAGGCCAATAATCTTAGGCGGCGATCTTCACGGTCTATTGTTCTACGGTGCCCCTTGCTTTTTCCGTACGGCCTTCTCGAAGCCATGCCTGACAACACCTAACCACAGTGTCTACACTTCTTTGCACTCTAACTGCAATTGCCCGAAAAGAAAGTCCAGCTTCCCGAAGTCCCACTATACGGCCCCTATCAAACTCACTAAGTTGACGAAATCGTACAGGTCTCCGTACTCTAGGCATCTTAACCGATCGTAAAGGATGTAAGGAACCAACATCCGCCAACGTTGATTCTTTACCTGAAAATTTTTTCACTTGTTATTTACAGTAAGATAAATACATTCACCAACTTTTATTAAAATAAAACCATTTAAACTGGGTGTTCGGATTTATATGTCACTTAGTACATTTCATAAAATTCCTTATTTTTTTCTATCTTGACGAACATCTAAAAAACAGATACATCCGTCTGATGGTTATTACGTCGAGAGCGAAAAACCTTAGAGGGAAAATAGATGTAACTTCATCCATTGGGGAGGAGACATATACCCCTGTTAAACGTATAACACCCCTCGTTCTTTCGACGTGCGTTAAAAATTATCTGTGCCATATAAAGCCGAACTGTATTCAAATTAATGTATTTATATTTATAGCGAACAACATACAAAGAGTATTAAATGGCTCGTGTTTCAACCGACTAAAATAACAATCATGAAAATTAATGAAAAACAGTGTTATCATACGCCATTTAACAGTGTGCATACAAGCGGGAGTAAACTAATTGCTTTTGTTTAAAAATAGCTCGCAGTGTTATGGAATGCGGAGAGATCTTTAACCCTTGTTCCGAATTCAGATAATAATGCAGTATTTGTTTATCCAAGATAATCATTAAATGTGTCAAAATAATTAACCAGTCAGATAATTAAAGCAAAACATGTCTGATATGCATTCCTCTCCTATCTTTGAAATTAACATTTAATGAAAAGAAAATAGTTAGATTGATTTGGTACTCTCCAGTAGTTACTATCAATCAATGGCCAATTTATTACTCAAATATTCCAAGCACCTTGGTCAGTTCAAGATTGGTTTTCGAAGCAGTCCGTAAAGCCCTACTGATTCAGATTTATTGACTAGACTGTCAGACGTGATTGACCAGTCCTCGAAGTCAGAAAAAACAAAGAAGAATAAAATAATGGAAAGGAGGTGTAGAGCAAAGCAGTGCTTTGGAAATACGCTCAGAAATCCTGATTTAAACCGAAAAAGGGGTATGGATGGTATCAACCCTTGATGAAATCCGATAAATATTTCGTGCCAAAACTTTTACGACATACGTTAAACACATTCATTATGGCAAATGACCCCATACGACTCCGTGAAGATTAAAATTTCAGCCAATTTAACCCTTTGCTATCTTACTTGTCTTAAGACTACTTTGTTTTTGGTGTCAATTTACTCAATGTACTGTGTTACGAATGTTGGAAAAAAGTCGAATCCCTTTGACACAAAAATGTAAAACAGAATAAATAAGAGAAAACAGACACAGCTAGCTATTTACTTAATAAGTGCATCTATGCCTGAAGTTGGAACGCTTTATTTTATTACTTTCTAAAGGTAGAGTTAAAAACAAACATGGAAACAAAGAATCGTATTTTCTTTAGCGGAACAGGAACTGCCTCTGTGAGCTGAGATGGAGACCAGTCATACTGAAAATTCAATTCAACTCAAGCATGAAAGTAATCTATAATGTATTCTCCTTTTAAACAGCCGGTTGTAATTTGAAAAAATAATCGTTTGCTTGAAAGGTTCTTCTGTTTTATAGTACGCCAAGCACCAGGTATTCATAGTAAATTACATGTATAATAAAGGAACTAACTAGATCATATCAGTTAAATAGGCTCATACAATGACAGTCAGAGCGACACAAATGAGTGACAGCTTTTCTTGGTGTGTATGCCATATAACATCCAAAAAACAAGATATTCCATTTTCTAAATTTTTCGAGATTGTAGTGCTTCCGCTACAGTGGCGTAGGAAGTTAAGGGATAGATATCGTATTAGTCACCGACTACTAAAAAATATATACCTCTTGATGCAGGGGTATCACGTTGAAAAGTGACAATATCGGTTTGTTTAACGTTATGTAGGTTTTCCTACAGGATGTCCACTAGAAACTAGCTGTCGTTCACTTCATGCTCACTTGTGACAAGTGCGGAATGAACTATTTGTACACCACCAGCGACCTAGTCAACTAGTTGACATTTTATCGTTTTCTTTTTTGACATATAGGTTATTTACTACATAATAATCTTGCGGATGTGAACAAAGCCACAATACAATACGAACATTTCATTTTTCAATACTGTTCAGAGGCGCAATTTTTCAAGAAGTCCCAATATTCGGTACATTATATATATATATATATACAGGGTGGCCCATACATGTGTGGACGGAATATTACTCATAAACAAATACATTTTGGGCAAATCTATTCATGGTATGTTATACATGACATTTGAGGGCACATTCCTAAAATATTGGCGATTATACAGGGTGTACCAATTTTGACCTACATATCAAAGTTGTGATTTTTTAAATGGAATGCCTCAAATGTCATTGCATTTATGGATAAACCAATCCAATAGAAGAAGATTGATATAACATACTATGGTTTTGGTAATTAGCTCTTGAGATGTAAGGTGCTTTATCCAGAAAAACCGTCCACTTCGGCAACCTCTCAATCCGCCATTTTGATGTTTGGAGTGCTGAATTTAGTATAAAAAAAACTTGCACACTTCAGATTTTATATTATTTATTACTTTTCCGAGTTTTCATTTTTGCTCATACAGGGTGGTCAAAAACGCGAATTGTAGTTTTTCTCAAAAATTTCAAATCCATCACCCTGTATATTTGTGCAAGTTTGGATTCAGTTTCTTATAAACTTTTTTTGGTATAAGGTTTGATTCAGATAAAATCACTAGATTTTTACTTATTAAGCTTTTAATAGAACAACAGACAGACAGTGGGTTAGTTCCATATTGCCACTAAGAGTACAGATTCGACGTAAACACTAACAAC